GTCACCTATTTGGGTGACAATGGCTAGAAGGGAGGATGCTCAGCACTTGGGGGGTTGCTGCCAGCCCAACCCCCAGGAGAGCAGCCCCTCCGCCAGCTGGGTCTCTGTCTCCAGGGCTGCCCTGTCCGCCAGCCCTGAGCCCTGGTGAGACCTGGGGGGCTCTGATTTGGTGGCTGGTCCCTGTCGGGCTGTCTCCCCTGCCTGGTTCTTGCTCTGCCCTGATGACCAGCCCCATCCATCCCTGTTCCCACCGGGCTGCCTCGCTCCGCTCACTGTGTTTTCCATGGCTCCCAGGCAGGGAGAAGGAGCAAGGGACACCCCAGCCCCGCTCGCCCTGTGATGACAGGGTCCCGTAAAGGATAGCGCAGCCACCCAGAGCCACCCCACCTTCTTTGGGTCAAGCAATCCGAGGGAGGGGGAACCAGGAGCCGGCTCTGGTTTGAGAGCATGGGGGATCCCCATTTCACCCCCTGCCCTGCTCCTGGGCTCCCTCCTGGGCCACCCTTGGGGTTGTGGAACATCCACTCCCCAAAGCCACCCAGAGACGCTGCAGCCCTGGCTACTGCCTGAGCATCCTCACGAGGCTGTGGCTCAGCGACTGTCTCAACGAGAACACTTTGGCACACCCCTGAAGCAGCATCCAGGCAGCTGAGGGGTAATTTTAACAAAAGCCAGGGCAGACAGAGGGAGCGGGAAGAGGCTGCGTTGGAAGAAGAGGGAGAGCAACTCTTTCAGAAGGTGTATAAAACACATCAAAAAACCCCCCACGTGAGACAGAGCCAAGGTTAAGGATCGTTTTGCAGACACAGGTTGCTTGAAAAGAGAGTGCTCTGCAGGAAGGAGAAGAGAAGCCTCAGGGGAGGGGGGAAAAGAGCAAAAAGCAAAGGGAAGGAGGCAAAGGAGAAAGAGAGAAAAGCGGGAGGGACCAGACCGAGCGGGTGTGCGTGAAATACCTAGTGTCATTTCCGAACGAAATGCTATAAGTGGAAGGTGACCCAAGGACAAACACACACACACACACACGTACACACACAGAAAAACGAAAGGTCAGAAAGCATCGTCTGTACGGGGCTGGCGCGGGAGTAGGGCCATGAGCGAGCCCCTCTTGAGGGGACTCACCCCGCAGCAGCACCGCTGGCCAAAGGAGCCCAAAACGGAGCCCAAAGGAGCTCAGCGAGGGCAGAGGTTTACCCGCCTGGGTGAAAACCATCTGCCTCCCACTTTCCTCATGGTCCAGCAGCTGGGAAGCGAACAAGTGCATCCTCCCCATCCCCTGAATTCTGCCCGTGCTGCCGTCCTGGGGCAAGGACGTCCTGCCCAGCACAGCACCCCCGGGAAGGTGCCTGTCGGGGATGACCAGCTGTCCCACTGCCACCCATGCAGTGGGAGATGATTTCTTGGCCCGTCCCCTGGTTCACAGGGAGAGCATTGCTGTGCCGAGGGCTCATGGGCAATGCCGGCACAGGCCTGTGTGCTCCTGCAGCAGTGGACTGGATCCATGCTGGATCCATCCACCTGCACCCTGGGGAGGACAAGGTGCTGCTGGAGGGACAGCTCTGTCCTTCAGCATCTCCAAGCACGACCAGCTTTTAGCCACTGTAGGGAGGACAACCTCCTGGGCACAAAGCCACGGAGCCCAGCAGGATTTGGGAAACCCCATCCCCTGTCTCCCAGATGCATCCCCCTCTTCTTCCACCACGGGGCACAGTGGTGGGATGTCCCCTCCTTTGGGACCGCAGCAATGCTCTTGGCCAGAGTCTGGTGGCAGCACCTTGGGTCCGGCAGCTCTTGCCCATGCATCGCACACTAGGTTCACCCTACAGTCCCAGCTAAACTCATCCACATCCCCAAAACAACCACTCCCCCCGTTAGGCAGGGGTATAACAGTCTGTGCCACGCATGGGCACACGCACCCACCATCACACCTGCATATGGCCGCGCACTGCCAGTGTGTCGCACCTACATTCGTGGGACTAGTGTGCAGCAGCTGAGCGTGCTGCTGCAGCACCCGGGGTGCTGCCACCATCACCGGGTGCCTAGGTGAGGGCTGGAGGCACCCCAAAGCCCCACCACAGTCCGCATCAGCCCTGTGGCTGCTCCACGCAGCACTGGGGGCTGAGGTGGGGCTGGGGCAAGAGGTGACAGGGGGGCGGCACGCTCAGCGCCAGATGCCAGAGAGATGGGAGAGGAGCAAAGTCCAAAAAGCAAGAAGAAATCCCAGATCAGGTGATGGAGACGCAGGCGTGCAAAAGGGGGGAGCGGCAGCCAGCGAGAGCGCGGCCCAAATGAACAGCAAAGGGGGCTAAGTGAGCGAGAGGTGCCAGGGAGAGGAGGGAGGATGGATGGGGCATGTGGAAGGATGAGGGGCTGGATATCCAAGTGCTGTCTCCGGCGGGAGTGAGCGCACCAAGGCAAGGTGGGGAGAAAGAAAGAAGGGAGAGAGGAAAGCGGGGGTGGAAAAAAAAAACAATGGAAACAAATAATACCTAGGCATATCCGAATCAAGAAACTGCCTGCAAAAACACAAAACAATCACATGGTTAGTGTGGGCTTGGATGGGCGGCAGCAGCGGGGGAAAGCGAGGGGGGTACCCTGGGCACTGCCCTGCCCTGCGCCTCCTCCCTGGGCGCTTGATGCAGGGATGGATGGGTGCCAGGGAGGGAGCTGTGTCGCTTCCCCGTCTCCTCCTGAGCGGCTCCAGGGGACTGGGGAGGCTGTGGGAGGTGGAGCCAGGGCTGCTCTGGGTGATGGAGGCTGCATGGCATAAGGCAGCGAAGCAGGGAGCGCAAGAAGCCGGGGCAGAGGGTGAAGCGG